CTATTTCCTAGGCCGTCGGGTCCTGTGGCCTTGTTAACATTAATATCGCACAAAACTTTGTAAACATCAAGGGGGAACAGACGATTGAGTCAATAACAGACTCTGTTCTAAGAGTAAACAAGGGAAGAGAGGCGCCCAATGTGTTGAGTTGCGTTTGAGATGCAAAGTAGCGATTGAAGACATTAGCCTTGGTCTTGTCGTCCGTAACAGTACATCCGTTTTCGAGTAAAGGTGGTAACGTGCGATCAATCTTACCCATAAAAATTTCTTTGGAAACAGACCACCAGTGTTTAGGATTAGAGGATGTATTTACTAAACCAAGACAGAGGCTAAGCCGGTGGTTGTACTTCGCTTTCCTAATTAGTTTTGTACACATATTACGGATAGTTTTATAGGAGTTGAAGTGAACAGGGTTTTTGGTACTTATGAATTTACGGTACAATCGCCTCTTTATCCTTAACATACGTCTTATTTCACACGTCATCCATGGTTGATCTCGAGGGCGTACGGTAACTTCTTTGCTGGGGACAAACAGACTGATTGTTCTTGAAAGGGTTTCCATGAATGTTTCGGTTGCAATATCTATGTTAGGAATACTCTCTGAAATGATAGAGCCCCAGTCAATGTCAGAAAAGTTTGGAATTCAGTCCATCGTAATCTGCTTTGCCAAAGTCAAATACAGTACGTTTGTAAGCTGCAATACGAGGGACTTTAAGGACCATTTTTCCATAGGTAAGTGAATGGTCACAATTTGACAAAGGCGGGTTCGTCCCACAATCCGAGAACAAACTGGGTGAGTCTGTAATTAAGACATCAAGCAAGGATGACGTGGTGTCAGTTATGCGGGTGGGCTCTGAAATCAGCTGTGCGAAGTTGTTGTCAGATATAAATCTATTGATCATGCTAGCGGCGTTGTCTGAATTTGCATTCATATCGCCAAGCAGAATAATAGCCGTTTTCTCAGGTGGGCCACTGGCCATAATTAGGTCAACTGATTGTTGCAGGTGTTCCATGAGTAAGGTACGTTCTTCCGCATTCTGGCCTGGTGGTCTATAACAACAACAAACAAAAACTTTCAAACTACCGACATCCACCTCACACCAGATTACTTCAGACTCGTCCCTTTCCAGATCGATTCTCCGTTTACATGGTACAGAATTAGAAACATACAGTGCGACCCCTCCACCATGGCGATTCCTGTCTCGTCGCATTGGAATTTGGTACGAGGACAGAGATATGTCTGAATCCGGGATGGCAGAGTCGCACCATGTCTCGGAGAGAGCAATAACATCGTACTCCTCCTCAATAGCAATAGTCTCAAGTTCATGAACTTTGATATAATCATTGGCGGGAAGACTTCTCACGTTTGCATGACAGAGAGACAAGAATTTCCTGTTATTTATGGACTTTGGTTTTACTAGGGTAAGGCTGAACATGTCTGAATAGTATATAATTATAAGATAGGTGTGGACCTCTCAGTGACTGTTATAGAACTGCAGGGGCATTTTTCGTAAAATATTTGAAAGATGATACATGTAGGTGATTGACTTATTCATTATGCAAGTAAGTTTACAATTTGCATACAATGTACTTGGAGGAAAAACTTTAATGTTCCTGCTGCTTTCAAGTAATACTGTAACAAGACCAGCTGGCAAAGTCATTAGGGTGCTGGCCTGGAACTCAGGACAACAAACATGTGGTAGTAGTGGGCTATTAGAAAATGGTTCCCTGTTTCTACTGCTTCCTGTGGTGTATTAGTGAAAGGTTGAACTCTACTTGACTGTGCTGTTGTTCCAGATCTGCTGGCCCTGCCTGAGGAGCAGGAGGAGGGGGGAGGTGAGGGAACTCTGCGACGCAGCAACAGTTGGCTGCTGAGGGCCATGGACGAGTGCACGGAGCTGGCCTCAGGGAGCAGCGCAGAGGATGCAGGTAAGCACTCATGGCTGGAAGGGAACACCCACCCTATTTGAAAATCACTGAGGGGGGTGGGGAACAGATAGGACTGCTGTCCACTGTGGGAGTCATTATCAAAGAGCCAAGCAGGCCATACCACATGAGAATGGTGGGGAAGAAGTATGAATAAGTATCTCCAGTGGGTGTAACTTAATGTAAGTAAGGTCTCCTATTCCAATATCTCTGGGCCATTGAGTATAATGACTGCATATCCAGTAAACAAAACATTTTTCAGAAGTTGTTTTGCCTTCTATTGCAAGGACACTATGGCAATACTTATGGCATGATGGGGTTAAATGTTAAAGTCTGCTATAATATGTCTGATTGAATGTTTGCTTTTCAGATGAGGGATTGACAATGAGACTGCCAATGGAGGATGCAGCCATTGATGATATAGCTAGTTATGTTGCAACTGTTACAGTAGACAATAGTTGTACCACTGACTCTGGGATGGTAGAAGGCCCACAGCATGACGACCAATCAGGCTCTGTGGACGACTCACCCACGGACACCCCCTGGGCCCCTTCCAGACAAGACAGTTTTGAGGAGAGAAGCAGGCACTGGCAGGGATCGGTGGCCAGGGCTTACCTGGACAGTATCAGACACAGGTGTGTGATGACATAGCTTAAGATAAGTGACATGTGCATACATCTGCATGTATTATGCTATCACAGTACATTTAACATTACAAATACATGTAGATACAGCTATGCATACATTGTAAGGTTTTAAAGATACAAAATGTAAAATTAAGAGTTAATTTCCAATGCCTCTCATTTTATATTTCCTCTTATTTAAAAAAAATATTATTGCAAAAATACAAGATATGTAATGAAAGGTCATGTCATTTTGATGCTTACTTCTTATCATTTAAGTGTGCTTCCTTTGGCAACAATTAATGATTCTTGATGTTCCTTGTTTGAATATTTGTACAAAAGAACATTTTATTGAGTGTGACAGACGAGACATGGAATGTTAGACAACATTCATATATGCTAACTTTCTGCTGCCAGGTCCAGGAGAGAAAGTGACCAACAAGGCCCCGTGGCGGATGAGACTAAGAGTGGTGCAGACAGGGTTGATGGGATAGTTGTGAGTCACACCACTCCTGTTCCCACGCACAACAGAGTGCGAACGCTGTCCGGGAGGAGCGTGGGGTCCTTCGACCTCGGGGCAGAAATGGCAGACTACATCCACGAGGCTGCGCAGATGATACGATTGGCTCTGGAAAATGAGGCCTGCGGTAGCTTTGAGGCAGCGTTTGGGTACTACAAGTCTGGTGTAGAGATGCTGCTGAGGGGAGTGCAGAGTAGGTGGTTTGATTGTATCATTTAGAACGTAAAATTTCAAAACAATGAAAATGAAAGAACAGAAAGAGTGACTGTAAAGAGCTAATTTTCAGCAAATAAAGGGATTCAGTTTTGTCTCTGATCTATTCTTGCCATCTTTTCTTTACAATGTTGTGTTGGTGATGTGACATGACCTTTGTTATGTTTAAAGATGACACCAACAAGACCAGACGGGAGGCTGTCCGTAGGAAGACAGCCCAGTACCTGCTGCGAGCAGAAGACCTGTATAACAGACAGCTTCCTGGGACAACAGTGAACAGCAACAGATGGGCGGTAGGTCAGCAACATTGAACTATGTAAACGTTTCACTCGTCATAATGTCGCAACAAC